GTAGTGCTGTATGTGAAGAAAGTCTTTGTAGTAAATACTAACCACTGTTTCTTAAAGCAAAACCATGAAGTCTTTTGGTGTTTTTATTCTGCATAAAATAAAGACTAATACCTTCATAGTAGGTTTGAGTTCGGGAAATAGAGCCTCTTAAAAATCTCTTGAGTTTCTTAAGTAGATTAACAGTGACTCCCACAATTAAGTGAAAATTCAGACAGTTCTCTTGACCAAAAATTCTCTGCTTTTTAAGATCATTTACTTAGTGTTGGAGCCTCTGCAGAGAAAGGAAATCCTGACTTCTAAAAATACAATGTATTGTTATTTTTAGAATGTTTTAAAAATTTTAAACATTATCATTTTTTATTAAAAAAAAAAAAGTGACTGAAGGTAAGATTTTATTACTATTATTTTAAATGTTACAGTTAGATCCACAATCTTGGTTAGGTTAGGTCAACAAACATTCAACATGAGTCAACTTCTCCATATGCTATGAAGACATTGTTTAGCTTACAGCCCTTATGTGTTCTGGACCATTATATCTGTGCTTCCAGTTTTAACAAGGTTCTTGTTGGTTTTATGATACTCATTAAGGACTTGTCTAAAAGGAAGGTCTGCAAAAATCTATCTAATTTGGAAGGAAAAAAAAAATACCTATCACTAAAAAAAAGGTGTAGCTCAACTTACTGAAAACTGAAAAAAGCAGACTTTTTACTTTCTAGAATAAAGCAACACACATAGCCCTTATAAGAAATGTGCAAAATTGTAGTAAAATGATCACAGTGACATTTTTTTTTTCTATTAGATTCCATTAGTATTCATCAATGTTTAGAGTACCTGTTTTCCAGATTGTCCAAATACAGTTCATCCATATAAAAAAAACTTTCTCAGGAGTTTTTCATACTGGAAATATGTTAAGATGTACATAATATATCAGGTCTTCCAAAGTTCTGTCTTGAACAATAAAACAATTTGATTATCATGGTAGTTGGGCAGAGCTTTAAAAGTCAATTTTCTTTCATGAGTTTGTCTTTGATTACTGAGTACAGTCATTAATAAGACAACACATTCATGGAGGTATGTAGTTAGCTTGTGTCTGTGTATGAATGTATGCCATTGAAATTATAGATTGATACAGCAGATAATAGATTAAGTGAATTTCAGAACACTCCAAATTTGAGACACGAGTTATTAAAAATTGTCTGCAATTTTTTTTTAGTATTTCTTCAAGTCTTTAAATGAAAATCTGGAATTTGTATAATCATGTGACTTCTTATTGTTTAAGTCTTTTGGTGGAATTTTTCTTAGGTATTTACTATTGCTAAAAATAAAAACACTTCAGTGACTACTTTCACTTTGATATGTGACGAGGAAGGATTGGTACCAAGCTTCTTTTCCTCCGTCTTCTGGATAATCTGCTGCTGTACTACCCACAAATGGGACAATGTCAAATTATTACTTGTGATACTGAACAGCAGATTTTTTTCGTCTGAAAAGACTATTCACTTTTTTTGAAGTCTCATGGTAAGAAAACAGTTAAATGATATGGAAATGAAAGAAGTACACATATTCAGCCTGCTCATGAATGACTTCAGATGCTAGCATTGTTTCCTGTTGGCTTATTTTGTTTGTTTGTTTTTTGTTTTTTTACCTAAATAGCTGCTACAATATGACATAAAACAAGTTTTATATAAATGTTTAGATGAGTTCTTAAGGCTAAATATCCAGAATAAATGTCCATTATGCTTTTCCCAGATAATACATTTCTTTTATGTTAACATTACTTTTTCTGTAAGAGGAAGTTATTTACAAAATATGAAAAAAGCATTGTTGAATAATTAGAATTGAAATGCTGAAAACTGACATTTACATCTTCGTTGCTGTAATTTTTAAAGGTAAACTTTGTTAGGGTAATCATAACTTCTGAGGTGCCATATAATACTTGCATATACATTTTACTTTCTGAGGGGGATGTAATTAAGTTAGGTATTATTAAAGTAATCTCAGTCAGTGAATGATCTGAATGCAGTATTGCATTCAGTAAGTATTGCTCATTCAAACTCTAATATACTAACAGTATTAATATCCCCACTATCCAACACTAAATGTATTCTATTCAGAATTCCAATACATTTGTAATCACTTTGTTAGTCAAATACAGTTCTTAGTAGAATATTTTCTAACTTAAAGTGGGCTAGTAAGAAATAACCTGTGGCTTGATTCGGGAACATTACGTTCTCAGAATTGCCCAAACTTCAGTTGCCCTCTGCAATCCACCCAAGTTGATACTTAAATGTAAATGATCAGTAAATTACAAGCTTTTCTCCTCAAACTGTTTGAAGTCAATGTGACTCTATCACAAATAGATTCAAATTATGACATAATTGGTTGTTTCAATGAATGCTACTTTGGACCAATGTCTGAAACCTTTAATCCTGCAAATTTGTATGTGTGTGCTTAATAAGCAGTTACACTGATCAGTAGTTAAAATTGTAAGTCACTTCAGTGCAACTTTACCGGCACAGAGTTCAAGTTTTCTTAAGCCTGGTCAGCTTATTTACTGCCAGAGTGTTGCTTCTTTGTGAGAGCGGTTTATTTTTGACATGTCACTGGCAGCATGTGAAAAAACAGTATATTTTATTTATTTATTTCTTTTGCAGAAGAGTGTGTTGCAGTAATCTGATAATAGTTTGTAATATTACCTTTACAAGGCTACACAACAAACTGGTAATCACTAATATAGAATGAGGGAATGATACAGAGCTTTTTTATAAATTGTAAGTTTACTGCGCTGACAGACATGTTTTTAGCAATAATGTCATCTACAAGCAAGGTTAGGCAACATTAATTGCTCCTGTAGCAAAGGCTGGTACATCTTATGATAGTTTGTATTATAGTTTTGTATATAAATGTATATGTATATACTGTAGTATTTTTTCTTGTATCTGCTGTATTTGATTTAGTAAATTAATGAACAAAGCCAAAGCCTGTGGGTAGGTAATATAATTTATTTTATTAACTCTCAAGTTCTGTTTGCTCTTGCATTTTGAAAGTTGTCATTTTAAAACATTCATTTGCAAAAATCTTTCCTGTTTTTCTAAATTTCAAAATACATTTTTGGTATGTTCACTCATGAATCTACACATCATTTTCTAATCAAGCTTTTCATCGCCTTCAAAATAACAAAGTATAGGATCTCATAAATGCCTTATTCCTTGCAATGTTTTATAGTGTTTAAAATAACAAATTTTGTATTTTTGTCATGTGGTACTTCAAATATACAGCTGAATTGTGGCAATTTAACAAGCTATTATGCTGTTTAGTTCATTTATCCTGCCTCAATTGTATATTAATGCAACCTAGATTAAATCACGTTATGAACAGTTTAAGCTGATGCGTTTTGTTTCACACTTGGGGGTAGTAAGCAATGTGTATATGAAGAGATGTGATATCCTAATGACTGCTGATGTCTTGAAAAGCATCCAGAAATAGACAATTAGCTCACACCATATAAACAATTTTGCTGTGTCCTGATTCTTAAGGAAATATTCTATTTCCACATTATAGTATTTTCTATGACTATTTCATTCCTGGTAATTTCATTTAAGCGCAAAACATAGTAATAAAGGGCTTTTAACAGTGTTGAGAATGTTTAATAATGTCATTTTTAGTTAGCTTTTAGTTAGTCAAATCTAGTTAGCTTTTAGGTGGCTTTGACTTGTATGCATTTCCTATTTTGCTCTGTATTTGGCAAAAATAAATGATATTTATAGTGTTGTAGTACCAAGCAATGTGTTAGCTTTTTGTTTACTTTTGTTTGTGCTTATCAACATTATTGTTGGCAGGAAAAACTTAGCTGAGGGAATATTTTTGTCGCTGTCGCAACAGTTGGTCTTTACACAGCATTTTATTTGGAGAATGATACCATCAAAATGGCTTTTTTGGTGATAGAGTAGCTTATGTTGGGAAAACTATCTTGAACCCAGCAAATAACTCTTGCATATATATATTTTTTAATTAAGATAGTCACTGAGTTCGTCTTTCTTCAGAATATAATAAATAATGCCTTAAAATGTACATATCTACACACACACACAACATATAATACATACAGAACAGAAAATACTTTTTATAGGGAGGTACAAATAGAAGTTAACATTAAAAGAGCAAATGGAATGGGAGTATACAGAAATGGAAAAATTCTATCAGTGTTTGAAAGAGGTCATAAGTGGCTGTTTTTAAAGATGTTTTTCATTTTACAGTGCTTCCAAATAAGAAAATTCCCTCAGTCTTCTGACAGGAGGCAGCTCCATCAGGCTTTTACTTTCAGCACAGTGCTGCTGCATACTGCAGAGTGTGAAAGAAAAGCTATTGATCACTTTTCATTTTTCTCCTCTAAGTATCTAGTTTTTAGGAATATATATTCTATGAAATAAAGCAAATGTAATTATGAAAAAGTCTGGATTCTGCTGCCACAACACCTACACAGTTGTTGAATAAAAGTGTTAAGTGACATAATTTAGTCTCAAGAAATGATTATTATCTAATGACATTCTGCTTAGGTGTTGTATCTTAGGTACAGCTAAACATTATTTCTGTTGGCCTTCAGATATCATTTTACCACTTATCTTTGTAAAGATCATAGGGTTATGAAATAATTGATGGAGGTTCCCTAGACCAATATCTTTCTTTACCAGGACCTAATCAAGTTGCTTGTGGTCTTGTCTTTGAAAAGGCATCAAATAAGGGATGGACTTATTTTTCTCCCATTTGCTAATAGATACTACATTAGTTGCAGACAAGAAAAGGTAAATGTGCTTACATGCATGGGGGAAAAGCCATTTATAGAATACAGTAGTAAATATTGCCATATACGAAAAAGCATTCACTTTTGTTTTCTACTAGCGTGAACAATGGTCTACTCTGCCCTGAAAATTAGTTATATTAATTGTATTTTACACTTATGTGTTTTTGCAGTTTAGTAACATTCAGGTTTGTATTTGCAGTTTCCTGAATGTGGTTTCTACGGAATGTATGACAAAATTCTTCTCTTCCGCCATGATCCTACCTCTGAAAACATTCTCCAGTTGGTGAAATCAGCTGGAGATATCCAAGAAGGAGACTTAGTTGAAGTTGTCTTATCAGGTAACTAAAAATATGAAAATGGTTGTCATGCTTGCACAACTGAAGACATCCACAGTATTTTTGTCCCAATTAGGATCCAAGGAAAAGGAAATTTTGCATGTATAGATTTTCGCTTATACTGGATCAAAATCTTCACAGATGCATCTATGCCATGTATATTGTCATTATATGCCTACTAATTTTTTAATTGCTCTTCCTTTTTGCCAGCTTGATTTTCTCCACATTATTAGTTAGTATAACCAGTATGAAAAATGTTAGGTCTGCATTTTCAGAGCAAAGTCATCCAGTGGGACAGCACAATCCTTTTCAAAGAAGTACAGTAGAAAGAAAACAAAAATATAACAAAAAGATCATTTTAACATTTAATTAACACTATAGCTTGAAAATTAGGATTGATCTTAAGATGTCTTGCATAACATATGAAAAATTTAATATGTAATTGGGTATACTATACATTTTTCTCTTAGTCCATTAATTGGTGTGGCTAGTTCATAATTACCTGTGTGGGAATTATCAATGCTATTTTTACTAATAGTGACCTGGCTCCTCTTAAAATAAGGATTTTTATCTTTTATCTTATATGAAGTGCAATAAAATATCTATTGGAAGTAGAGCAAATGATTTTTCACAGCATTCACATTTCACAGGAATGTCTTTCAGGGCTGCTCTGATTCTTTGTATGATTACATGATTTTAAAAAGTAAGAGAAAAAGTAAGAGGAAAAATTTAATTCTATATTTGGTAGTAAATATATATTATTTTTGGATGGCTTTATTGGATGCCACACACACACACCCTCCAGATCAATAAATCAAATGAAGTCGCAAGGAATTTAGTATTTCATTTGATGAATTGTTTTTATGAGTTTGAAATGGAGACCACTTATTTTCCAGTTTCCCAAAATCAGGCAAGTAGCTGTTGAAATCTTCAAGAGAACTGTACAACTTAGAAGCATAAATCCCATACTGACTTTATTTTGTGGGTGATGCAACTCTCCAAAGAAGTGGTCAAGTACAAGCAACTCAGCAATATTTAGAAGGCTATTTGAACAATACTGTATGAAAATGTGAGTGGTTCCTACAATTGTGCAGGGTTTGTATAAGCTTCATAAAAATAGATTGTATAGAGTGCTGGCTGAAACTGAATTTAATATCACAAAGTAGTGTTGTTCTGTGTTCTAGTAATTTAATTTTAGATAAAGGCAAATCCCTAAAATATACTGTTGCATACCTTCTAATAATTGTTGCATGCCGCCTAATAACTTACACAGCAGTTGACAGTGTCAATCAACTGTATCATTTTATTTTAATTTATTATATTATATTAAGTTATTGGTGGACAAATATGCTAGACAAACATTTGAAGACTAGTACATAATGTATTGCATGAAATTAGTTTGATTCTTGTAAGATAGGGTGGTGGAATTCACATAGTAAAATTTAATTAGAGGACTAGGGAAGAAAAGGTGTCTCAGAGAAGCCTAGGAAACTGTTAGCAAACACAAATGTTCACTTTAGCATGTGACAGACACCAACTGAAATTATTTATAATGCAAGATATCCAACAACTACTGTGAGTTTGTCAATCTCTTATGTCTTTCTTTTGCTCACTCTGGGGCATGTCATGTGCCCCTGTCAACAAACAGAGTGCATTTTCTGCCTCTGGGAAGTCATAGCCTCAACTTCAGTAGGGGAGAGAACACGTGCAATTGTGCTCAGAGTTCTTTAAATAAGAAGCTTGATCCTATTTGACATACAATGGATTACTTATCTGCCCACATTATTATTAATCACAACTTAAGTTTAGAAAGTATTTATTTGTTCCTCAGTATTAATCAATAAAATATTATAGAATCACAGAATGGTTATGTTTGGAAGGTACAGACCTCTGGAGATAACCTGGTCCAACCTTTTTCCTCAAGTAGGGTTAGCTAGATCAGGTTTCTTAGAAGGCATGTGTAGTTGGTCTTTGAGTGTCTCCAAAGACAGAGGCTTCACAACATTTGGCTGTCTCTTTGTGTGTTTGATTGTCAAGTGTTCCATTTCAAGCTTACATTAAAAATGTCTTAACAATATACATTCCAAAGTTCTGTAAATTCAAAGTTTTGGAAAATTATTTTTGAATAGCATACCTGAAAAAGGCAATAAAATGTAATGCTACAGCTTTGCTGCTGAAAACTATGCACTGTGAGTGAACAGCCCCTGAAGCACTGATACCCAATGTCAAAAACTCTACTGATCCACTGCATTCATTTTTTATTGCAGAAATCAATATTGACTACTGGAGAAAAAGCTGAACTGTCAGTCCTAATACTTTGGGATTACATAATGTTTTTTCACAGTACTTTATGTAATTAAAAAAATTTTCTGTCAAGGCTGAACAACCTGTGATTATTACATATGTTTATTTTAATTTTCATATTCTATTTATTACCTTGACAGTTTAAGCAATGGTAAGATCATCTTCTGGTTTGGACCTTATGCTCCAAGTTCTTGAGAGAGATGAAAAGTTACACAGAAAAATTTGTAGTTGAGAAGAGTGTAAACGAAGCACTTTGGACTATTTTAGGGAATAAAATTGTACCTGCAGAAGTTAAATAATTGATACAGTTTGTGGAAGTGCTAGAATTTTCTAGTGAAAGACATGAAATTTAATCACCTCAGAATGCAGCACCTGCTCTGCTTTTATATATTCATAATGAACATTATTACTTGCATTTTACTTTGCTGCACTATGCAGCTGGGATTTTAATGGACTATAAGAATCATGTAGCTTGCTAAACAACTGGTTTGTGTCTGTCTGCTGACTGGCCCACGGGAGAAAGGCACAGACTGCTAGGATCAGCTGTCTGAGCTCTGTTCAGTGCCAATATTTTGGAGGCAAAATGTCAGACATTGTTATGAGAGGGGAAGGAAGAGTTAAAGACTCAAGGAAGAAAAGGGAACTTTCATTATGAACATTAGTAGCCCTCAAAAGTACAGTTTTATTTTTACCTTGTAAAAGGCTTTCTTCCTTTTGTTTTATGTATTTTTTAAGTATTATCTGTTTTGATGCTTTATTTCATTTGACTGTATGAGATTCTGACAGTATTTGTATAGGAGGTATGAGGGCACATAAGAAATGAATTGCTTAAAACAAATTTGTTTGTTGAACCCAGATGGTTTAACAGGCTACATTTGTTTATGAGCACTGAGCGGTATCAGTAATGCCATTCTGTTAGTAATGTATCTCTTGCCATGCTGCTGTTATATTAGCTACACATTTTCTACTCCACTTCTTTTTCAAATTGTTAGAAAAGTACCCCTGGTCTCCTCATGCACAAAAGGGGTAGTCCTTTGCTAGTGCTGCAGAAATCTCCACTGATGTATTCACTGAACCCAACATTTACTTAACTGTTAAATTGCATTGGAGACTGAAAAAGGATCAAAATCTTTGGAGAAAGGATTTTTATTGAGCTTTATTTGTACAAAGGATTCCTTTTGAGTAGAATACTCTAGAAAATTAATAAGTAGCCCAAACCAGGAAGCGAGATACAGAAGCTGCAAAGTTATAATCAAAGGTAGTTGTAAATGAGCAGTCATTCATTGATAAATACTGAAAGGAAGAGAAACCACACTTTGCAGCCTCTTTCTCTACAATGCACTCTTCTGGTCTGCTCAAGAAAAGGAAGTGAATTTCATGTAAGATGATCTTCAGTTGAAAAATATTATTTGATCTTAGTATGATTAAGCAGAATTAGCTAGTAGCTTGAAGTGGATCAATTAAAAAGGTGTATTTCGTATTCCACTGAAAAATATAGGATGCAAATGTGAATCATCAAAACAGATGTAAAATTCACATTAGATATGAATCGATTGTAATATCCTGATATATTCTGATATACTGTCTTCTTTAGCTTAACTCCTGGCTGAAGCATTTTGGTACTCTTCAAAAATTATATATTTCAACTGCCATTTATTAATGCCAGTAGAGAGATATTAATGTGTCATTGAAGGGTACAAATTTTTGTATAATTTCTTTCTGGAGATGTTAAATAGTTAAAAAGTTGCATCAAGTTTTTACATAAAGTTGATATTGGAGATCTGAATTGTAAAGAGTTAGCTTGTTTCTGAAATGAAGGTTGCAGTGTATGTATCAGTTACTATTTCAAGATCTCTGTAGATGCAACCACCTCCACTTTATCTGTGTATTTGTGACCTTTTTCAGATGAACTGTGCCTTTTTTTCCCTTAAATGGAAGTACGGCCTCTATAAGAAAGCTAGCAAATGGGAGATGCTGGACTGCAGTGCACTGACTCTTTTTGAGTTCCATTATTCAAGGCCTTGAAAGAAAACAATTACTTTGGATGCCTTCAGACTTATGATCATACCAGCATAATTTATGTGCTATGCTATACCTTGTTCAGGAAGATTTTTTAAAAGCAGTTGTGTTAATTTGTCTATGTTTTCTCATGTTATATAGAGGATAAAATATTACTTACTATTTTAATATGAATTTGCTTATAGAAAGTTTTTTTACTGAAGCAAAATTACACTGTGTTGTAAGAGGTCTTTGCCAGCCAGTGGAAGGCAGATGATGAAATATTAGTGAGAATTAGTGGAATGTACTTCATCTACTTGCTGTGAGCAGTTGTGCTCAACTTGGCAGGATTCCTGAAGTAATAAAATCAAATAGCAACTCTTTAATGTTCTCTTGCTGAGCTGATGAGGGCAGGAATTGATCCACTGCTTTTGCAAGAAGCTGTTTCTATTTTAATATCCCATAGATGATGCACTGTCTGATCATTATTTGCTGACGTTGTGTTTGGATTCAGTAGAATTTATACTGTCTTGTATATGATAAAATATTTTGAATGTATAAAATCTGTGGATAAGTAAACAATTATCTCCAGCATATTTATATTTATTTATTTCCTATTTTTTTCTACTAGTCAAAGCGTTAAACAGGGATTTTTTTTTCATTTGATACATTTTCTTGACATTTACATTGACTAATATATA